TCAATAATTTTTCTCCTAGGTACACACCCGGTAGAAGTGCATACACATATATACTGCAAGATATAGATATAATTGTGTATTATAACTTTATTTATAGTAGCCAAGACTGGAAACAACCCCGAGGCCTATCAGCAGTAGAAAATATAAATATGTTTTGCTACACTGACATAATAGAAAACTACATAATAATGAAAAAAGAATTGCAACTACGTGAAAGTTAGACATGAATTTTACTCCTATAATATTGTATTGAAGAAGCTAGACATGAGGTATTGTTCATTGTATGCTTGCATTTGCATAAACTTTGAAACAGAAATAAAACTTAGTGTGTAATGTGTATCTTTTGATGATTAAAATAGAATGTTATGAAATAAAGTAATACAATAACAGATAGAGTTATGATAATTTATGGCGTATGGAGGACATCTCGTTTGAGAGAGCATCAAAGGTAATGTCAGAAGTTAGTGAGGTTTTATTTGTTGACTTGGGATATATAGGTATACATATTTAAGTATGTATGCTTTGTAGCAATTCATTAAGCTAACAATTTTTTATTGCAATTTGTATTTTGTAGTAAATTACATTTCACAATTATATGCAAAGGATTTCTGGTTTCCTTTACCCTTATTCCATATGCACACCAATGTCATTTGGATGACTTACCCATGTTTCTAGCTGTCTTTGTCTTGAGAAAGATTATTTTTCTTTCTTTCTTTTTTTTTTTTTTTTTTTTTTTTTTTGAGTTGGAGTCTAACTCTGTCACACAGAGTGGAGTGCAGTGGCCGCTTCCGGTCACCGCAGCCTTGACCCGCTGGGCTCTGGCAATCCTTCCACCTCAGCCTTTCAAGTAGCTGGAACTACAGGCGTGCACTACCACACTCGGCTAATTTTTGATTTATTGTAGAGATGAGGTCTCGCCAAGTTGCCCAGGCAGGTCTCAAACCCGTGGGCTCAGGCATTCCACTCGCCTCAGTCTCCCAAAGGCACGGGATTACAGGCTGAGCCACCGAGCCAGACTGAGAAAGATTATTTTTCAAAGAGAGAAAGGCGTCATTTGAATTATTGGAAAAGAAGAAAAATCCCAGTATCAATTAATAAATTACATATTTTTAAAATTTTACCTTTTTTTATAGCTAACTTTTTTTCTGATCTCTTAAGATGAGTCAGACAATGTTAGGAGTGTTCTGCATGCATTTTCACATTTAGTCATAATAATAATCCTACAATGTTGGTAATATTATTATCCTCATTTAATTTCTGTAGTTCAATTGAATGCCTAAGAAGACATCTAATTAGAATTCAAGGGTGTCTGAATCCGGATCTCACCACCTTAGCCAATGTGTTATATGACGTTTTATTAACTCAAAAATCTGATGAACAGATAATCAGTCAGGAATCAGTTACAAATTAATGACATGGTCTAATTTTATGTGCCTGTTAAAAACTGACTGAGGTAAATTCACCAAGATGACCCTTGTTGGCTATTCGCACTCATTATGGGTTTTCTCTGGCTACAGCCTGATATTCTTCAACTCTGTATTGCTCATACATATGTTACTGAACATAATATATATAACATTGAAATGAAATGTTCACATGCCTGTGCAATATATTTCTTTCCTTCCTCCCTCCCTCCCTCTCTTCCTTCCTTCCTTCCTTCCTTTCTTCCTTCCTTCCTTCCTCTTCTTTTCTTCCTTTCTTCTTTCTTTCCTTCCTTCCTCTTCCTTTCTTCCTTCCTTCCTTCCTCTTCCTTTCTTCCTTTCTTCTTTCTTTCCTTCCTTCCTCTTCCTTTCTTCCTTCTTTCCTTCCTCTTCCTTTCTTCCTTCCTTCCTCCTTCCTCTTCCTTTCTTCCTTTCTTCTTTCTTTCCTTCCTTCCTCTTCCTTTCTTCCTTCCTTCTTTCCTCTTCCTTTCTTCATTCCTTCTTTCCTTCCTTCCTTCCTTCCTTCCTTCCTACCTACCTACCTACCTACCTAACAATTTGTTGATGCCAACGATGCATCTAGCCATGTTTGGAATACTTTGTGAACAAAACAGTAAAAATAAAAAGTCTTAACTCCAACTCCATGAAATGTATATTTTAGAAGGATAGCACAGTAATACATAAAGGATAATAAATCATTTAGTGTCATATAGCATGTTAGAAATTAATAGATTCTAAGAAAAAATAGATTAGAGGAAGAAGGATCAAGAGTGAAGAGTGACATGTGGAGCAATTGGACTGTATTGAAGACTTGTGTGATCTAATCTATAATGTCACAGGTCACCCAGGTAACTGAACTGTCATGTTGAGAACAGACTTTCGAGTAGAAAATGTAGACGCTAAGATATAAGCCAGGCTATTACAATAACCCAACCAAAAGATGATTATGTTGTAGACCAGAATGGTAGTAATGAAGGTCTGGAAAATAGTCAGATTTCAAATATACCTTGAAATATCTTCTGGATAATTTGAAATGTTAGATGAGTGAGAGAGAGAGTGAAAACAAAGATGACTCAATATTTTTGATGTTAGTAATTGAAGGGATAAAGTTGCAATCAACCTGACTAAAGAAGATTGTAGGAAATACCTGCTTGGAGGAGAAAAGGAATCTCATTGTGGACAGTTAGCTTTCAGATGCCCACTGAACATTCAAATGAATAAATCAGGAAGGTAGTGGGCTACACAAGCCTGTGAATATTAAGCATGTAGTGGGTAAACATCTAGAAGGTTATTTCAATCCACAAGACTGGATGAAATCACAAGGTTGGGACTAGTTCATTAACAAATTAGAGGTAGAGAGAAACCATCAAAATCTGAGAATGAGAGACCACTAAACTAGAGAATCTCAATGCATGCAATGTCTTTGGAGTCAAAGGAATATGGAATATTAAATAGAATAGAGGTTCAAATACTGAAATCGAAAGCAGGAAGAAGACAGAAAATTGATAATTGGACACAGCAATGAATATGTCTTTGGTGACCCTGATGAGTAAAGTCTCTGAAATGGTGGAGGTAAAAAGCCCTCTAAAATCTGAGCTTACCTGCTTCTTTAGTGGTCAAAAATTCCCCAGTATTCCTATTATATAAAAGCTGGAAATGACTTGGTACCCTTTAGTAACTGCTCTGGCCCCAGTCCCAGGAATGTTTTCTTGTGTATACCTCTTTGTCTTTTTCAATAAAGTAGTCAGGACTGCCAGATAGAATATCAAATAAGTGAAAGTGTGACTTCACTATTTTCTTTCCTGTGAACATCCTATCTGAATGTTACTCAACCTCCTTGGCTTCTGTGTACTCATGTCAATATCTATATTAATGAATTATGAGGATTAAATTAAATTTCGTTATGATGAACTTGGCACAATGTCTGGTACATAGTAAGTGTTCAGTAAGTGATAGCTATCATTGGAATTATTACTAGATTATGGATCTACAAGCCTCCAGAGACACTACTGCTGTTGGTCATTAGTTACTTTATGGTACCCAATAAAATAATCCTGAAAATCTCAATACTTTTTTATTCATTGAAGAAAAGACTTTGTAGCGCTTTCTCATCCTTGAGCCTGGGAGTCTCTAGTACACTGGGGCCAGAGCAGTCCTCTAGTACAGTGGACTTACACACTTGAACTTAATCAAAGCCAGAGCCCAACAGAGGCTCCTGAGATAACATAACCTGTCCTTGCAGAATGATTGTTTCTCAAACATTCTACCTGTTGCTTCACCTGAATGACTCCTTGACCTTTATCTTTTTGAACACTTGGTTATTCTGGTCCTCACTGACCAGAATATTTTACCTGAAGTTGCATCTATGTCCCAGTCAGGCTCTCGCAAAGTAGTCTGAGATTCCTTTACCTAAAATTATCTGATAGTGCTTCAGCTGATAGGACATTTCTTGAATCTTAAGAATGCCTCTATGAGGCACATTAAACTGATAGTTGAGCAGATGAGCAGATACTTTGAAGGAAAGTGGAGAAAGGAACACAAAGCGGATGATGGCTAAGAACATGGACCTAAAGTCAGATAAAATTGGATCAAAGTCTTGTTTCTATGGTGTATGGATGATATACTAGTAAAACCCCCTTCTTCTTAGACCGTGAGGACAATTTAGTGATCAGTAAAGCTGATTTTGTGAACGTAAATAAGAATACTACTGCCTGGATAGTTTTAGTTTTAGTAGGGTTTATGTTTCAAAAGAATGAAGTTAGGAAAGAGTTTTCAAAGTATTGCAGGGTAGGGTCATTTTAAACTGCGTCTTGCAAGGCAAGAACTGGGTTAAAAATTGGGCAGAATCTATGGAAAATAATTGGTTTGTGGGTACAGCAAGGTGAAGGCCTTAAAGCTGTCTTAATGAGCAAGTTATTTGTTTTGTTACATAAGCTGTTTTAGTTAGTTTTCTGTCTTATATCCTAGGACCAATTGTTTCCTGAGGAAAGCAGCTCAGGAATTAATGTTTGTTTTCAGTATTTATAAACATAGGTTTAGGCAGTAATACCTGGTCAGAGTATTATTTAGCAGAGGAAATTAAGGTGGTTTCAGTTCTCGGCTCTTAAGTTCTCTAAGTCTTAGTATCTGTATCTTTGAAATGCACACTGTGAGTAGTATAGAAGATAAAGTATAGCAAGCATTTATGTCTGGGCATGATGCTTAGTAAATACTCAACATCTGTTAGTATAGTTTTATTATTAAATAAAAAATAGTAAATAAAATAAGTATGATTTATTATTTTATAATATTATTTTACAAGGTCCTATTAAAGAAAGCATATGCATTTTGATTCAAGCAACTAGAGAACCCAAGTGCAGATGTCAGACCATCTAATTTCAAATCCTGGAACATCACTTGTTAGTGTGTCTCCTGTGGTAGATTGCAAGTTTTCTTTAATTATATTTCCATATCTTCCAATGGAAATATAAAAAGTACATTTTTTATACTGAATTACTTTCATTTAAACAGAAGTAATTGCGACCAAAATGTGTGTGCTTGTCTAACTCCCACTATTAACAATCATTGTTTTATTTCCAGAATGACATGAATTACATAGCATCCAGTGGGCCTCTATTCAAAGATGGCAAAAAGCGAATTGATTACATCCTGGTTTATAGAAAGACTAACATACAATATGACAAAAGGAACACATTTGAAAAGAACCTCAGAGCAGAAGGCTTGATGCTGGAGAAGGAGGTAGGTGATTTGCTATTATTAGTTATATGATGTAATATACTAGAACAGATATGATCAATTATGTTTTAGAATAAGAAGTGTGTCATAAAACTTTACAAAATATATAGCTATTTTCTCCCAAATGTAAAATAAATACCTGTTTATAGCCTCATTTATATTTGTATTCACTTTTGACTCTCTATATTTTTATACAATTTAAATATGTTTCAGAGGGCATGACTATTTTTTCAATTTTAAAAACTGAATAAGGACTGATTATACCAACATAAAATAGAAAACTATGCGAAAAGAAAAATAAAATGTTGGAAGAAAAGTGTTTACCAGACCGATAATACCTGTATGTTAACGCTGAAATTATGAATGGTTTCTTTCCTTCTTTTTTTTTAAATTGTGGGGTACAGTTAAGGGTTGGGTATACAAATATTCACTGTGAAGTTACCCTTATTGATAAGGTGTGCCCCACCCCTTTCCCCAGGCAGATATCGACTACCGTTAGCCCCAACTCCCTGCTCCCCCTGTAATTTCCTGCCACTGCCAATCCTTTTCCTATAATATTACCGTAGTTGTTCAAGGTCCACTTATGAGTGAGAACATGTGGTACTGAGATCTTTGTTTCTGTGTCAGATCACTCAGTATTATACATTCTAATTCCATCCAGGTTGCTGCAAAATTCATGATAATGTTCTTTTTTATGGCTGCATAATATTCCATCGTGTATATGTACCACATTTTTTTATCCAGTCCTCTTTAGATACATGAAAAAATGTTCAGCCTCATTAATCATCAAGGAGATGCTAATTAAAACTACACTGAGATACTACCTAACTCCAGTCAGAATGGCCATTATCAATAACTCAAAAAATATCAGATGCTAGAGAGGATGTGGCGAAAAAGAAACACTTCTACACTGTTGGTGGGAGTGTAAACTAGTACTGCTTCTGTGGAAATCAGTGTGGGGATTCCAAAAAGCTCTAAAAATCGACCTTCCATATAACCCTGCAATTCCTCTACTAGGAATATACCCAGAAGAACTCAAATCACTCTATAAAAAAGATACCTGCACACATATGTTTATCACAGCATTGTTCACAATAGCAATATCATGGAATGGTTCTCTTCCTAATTACTTTTCCTTTACGCCTTAAAAAAAGTGTTCTTGAAAGGATTTATGTACTTCTTTTTAGTGAAACAATAAAAGTACCAAAGCTCACTTTAAAAAATTAGAGCTGGGCTCGGTGGCTCAGCCTGTAATCCCATGCTTTGGGAGGCTGAGGTGAGTGGAGTGCCTGAGCCCGAGAGTTCGAGACCCGCCTGGGCAGGCGAGACCTCGTCTCTACAATAAATCAAAAATCAGCCGGGCATGGTAGCGCGTGCCTGTAATTCCGGCTACTTGGAAGGCTGAGGCAGAAGGATCGCCGGAGCCCAGCAGGTCAAGGCTGCGGTGGCCGGGAGCGGCCACTGCACTCCAGTCTGGGCAACAGAGTGAGACTCCAATTCAAAACAAACAAACAAACAAAAAATAGGAGGTAAAAGCATATTCTTCAAGGTTCAAGAATCCAATAACAACCATTCTTACCACTTTAGTTAAACCCTATAGGGTTTTAGAAAACACATATTCATCACATTACAGTGATTAATCACCCTAAGGCAAAAAACTGAAACATACAAAATAAAATGTCAAAGTTCATATCTGCAGAAGCTTGTCAGTTTGATGATGTCCCAATTGTCTGTCTTATTTCTTATGGTATAGGCACTTAGGGGTTTGATCAGGAATCTGTTGCCAGTTCCAATTTCCTTAATACCCTTCTCTCCTTTGTTAACAGCTTTATTTTATTTTGCTAGGTGGTTCTTAACATATTTTCTATGTATATACAAATATATGTAAAAAGTTTACACAAAATTATTCATTATATATATTATATACATGCTACTCTGCTATTCAGTTATATCGTTTACTAATACACTACAGATATTTTTATTTTTTTTTTATATTTTTAAATTTTTATTTTAAAGATGTGGGGTAAAATTCAGGGCTAGGTATGCAATGTTCATTACGCAGGTACCCTTGTTGATGAGGTTTGCCCCTCCCTCCCTTGGCAGTTTCCCAGTACTGCCAATCCCTTTCTTATAGTATTATAATTGTTCAAGGTCCACTTATGAGTGAGAACACATGGTACTCCATTCTTTATTTCTGTGAGAGATCACTGAGTATGATTGACTGTAAGTCCATCCAAATTGCTGGAAAGTTTATTTGTTTGCTTGTTTTTTTGAGTTGGAGTCTCACTCTGTCACCCAGACTGGAGTGCAGTGGCCGCTCCCAGCCACCGCAGCCTCAACCTGCTGGGCTCGGGCGATCCTTCCACCTCACCCTTCCAAGTAGCCGGAATTACAGGTGCACGGTACCACTCCCAGCTGATTTTTTGATTTATTGTAGAGATGAGGTCTCGCTGCCCAGGCGGGTCACGAACCCACGGGCTCAAGCAATCCACTCGCTGGAAAGTTTATATGTTTGTCCTTCTTTTTGACTGGATAATATTCCATTGTGTATATGTATCACTTTTTTTATCCAGTCCAGCTTCGATGAGCAGCATGGTTGGTTCCATGTTTCTGCTATTGTGAATAAAACTGCAACAAACATATGTGTGCAGGTATCTTTTTTGTAGAATGATTTGAGTTCCTCTGTGTATATTCCCAATAGAGGAATTGCTGATCATATGGAAGGTCAATTTCTAGTGCCTTCAGTAATCACCACACTGTTTGCATTCTCACCAGCAATGTAGAAGCATTGTTTTTTCTCCACATCCTCACCAGCATCTGTTGTTGTTTGTTTTATTAATTAGATGGCCATTCTTACTGGGGTTAGATGGTATCTCAATGTGGTTTTGATTTGCATTTCTCTGATGATGAATGAGGCTGAGCACTTTTTCATGTGTCTGTTGGCTACCTGTATATCTTCTTTTGAGAAGTGTCTATTCATGTCTTTTGCCCACTTTTTAATGGGGCTTTTTGGTTGGTTGTTTGTTTTTCTTTCGGCATGTTTGAGTTCCTTGTGCATCCTAGATGTTCGGCCTTTGTCAGATATACAGTTGGCAAATATTTTTTCCCATCCTGTGGGCTGTCTCCCTGCTCTCTTAATGGTTTATTTTGCTTTGCAGAAGCTTGTCAGTTTGATGATGTCCCAATTGTCTATCTTATTTCTTATGGTATAGGCACTTAGGAGTTTGATCAGAAATCGGTTGCCCATTCCAATTTCCTTAAGGGTGTCTCCTGCATTTTCTAAGATTCTTATAGTTTGAGGTTTTACATTCAGGTCTTTGATCCATTTAGAGTTAGTTTTTGTGTATGGTGATAGGTAAGGGTCCTATTTCAGTCTTCTGCATGTGGTCAACCACTTTTCCTAGCACCATTTACTGAATAGCTTCTCCTCTCCCCAGTGGTTGCTGTTGGAGGCTTTGTCAAAGAGGAGTTGGTTGAAAAATTGAGGCTTGGCTTCTGGAATCTCTACCCTGTTCCATTGGTCTATGAGCCTGTTCTTGTACCAATACCAGACTGTTTTGATTACTGTAGCCTTACAGTATAGTTTGAATTCTGGAAGTGTGATACTTCCTGCTTTGTTTCTTTTGCTAAGGATACATTACAGATATCTTAAATTGCCATTACATTTAGAACTAATTCAACATTTTAACTAGGTACAAAGTATTACAATTGGGGATCTAGTCAGTCAATCTCCTACTGAGTAAAAAATTAAATTAACTACGTAAAAATCACCTCAATTATTGCCACTGGGTTTTAATTTGTTTTCTAAAAAATGGGTGGAACAAATATTTGGTAAAATATCTAGAAAATGTGCTAATAAGCTTTATCAGTGTGCTAATGAGCACTTACATATTACATTGGAACTCTTTTTTCATTCCCACAGAATATCTCCTGGAGATATTTTTCTGAAAAACACACATTAGGAAAGACAGAACTATAACTTTCAGTGGTCCTATAAAAACTAATCCACTTTATATTGATCAAAGTCCATTTAGTTGGGGATGGTGGCTTATGCTTGTAATCCTCACACTTTGGGAGGCGGAGGCAAGACGTTTGCCTGAGTCCAGGAGTTCAAGACCAGCCTGGACAACTTAACAAAACTTCATCTCTACAATAAATCAAAAAGTTAGCCAGGTATGGTGGCATGCACCTGTAACTCCGGCTACTTGGAAGGCTGAGGCAGAAGGTGAGCCTGAGCCTAGCAGGTCAAGGCTGTGTTAACCATGACTGTACCACTGCGTTAGAGTCTGGGCAACAGAGTGAGAATCCAACTAAAAAAAAATTAATATGTATACAACAAGCATACATTGACTTGACTCTTTATGAGGAAGGTATTATTCACAGGCTGCCCTGGGTTATAGAATAGGCAATTGAAATTCTGACTTCAAACTGGGCTTGGTGGCTCAGCCTGTAATCCCGCACTTTGGGAGGTTGAGATGAGTGGATTGCCTGAGTCCGCGGGTTCGAGACCTGTCTGGGCAACTTGGCAAGACCTCATCTCTACAATAAATCAAAAAATTAGCAGGGTGTGGTAGCGCATACCTGTATTTCCAGCTACTTGGAAGTTTGAGGTGGAAGGATCGCTGGAGCCCAGCAGGTCGAGGCTACAGTGGCCGGGAGCAGCCACTGCACTCCAGTCTGGGTGACAGAGTGAGACTCCAACTCAAAAAAAAAAAAAAGAAATTCTGACTTCAGTCTTCTGTTGACCCCCTTTGTTGTTTCTTTTTTAAGACATTTCTAGGAAGTTTAACACAGATTATTCCTAACACCAGTGACTAATTAAAGAAATATTTATTGAAAAAATTCTCATGAACTCAATCTTGTGGCAACCTTCATTCACTTATTTTCTTATAATTTCTCCTCCATACACATAGAATTAATCATTTGCTCATCTGCTCCCAGAGCGGTTTATACATAAATTATGTTATGATACCGGTAGTTGTTTTTCTCCCATATTTCCTGCT